TACTAATAATATATTTGAATTTTTCATGTTTGATCTTTGATTTGAATAAATTTGTTTAAGAGTTCAATCGGTGTAATAAAATCACGATATACAGTTAAGAATTTATTTAAGTAAACATCAGTACTGGTCATTGTAAATAAAATCAATTGATTTGTTGACATAGCTGCAGGTATTTCAATACCATCAGGATATTCACTACATTTTTCTAAAATAATTTCACAATTATTATTAGGAATAATATTTTCATCAGTAATGGGAATATCAGTGTCAGTAGATGTATGGAAAGAAATGTGTTGGTCATATTCTTCATCTGGTAATTTAGCAAAATCTTCTTCTTCAAATGGTAATTTTTCAAATAAATTATCACCATCCGTTAATCCTAATTTAACCATTCCTTCAAGGGCATCTTTTAATGATGGATCAGATGTATAATTTACAAATTGAGGTGAATCAGGTTGAAGTAATTGATATTGAGGATGCTTTGATAAAACCTCTTTTACTAAAGCAATTCTTGTTTCTTGTAATTTTTGTTCTTTTAAATATTGACAAATTAGTGCAATAACCTCTTCTTCTGGTAAAGCGTCAAGATTAAATACTCTACTTTCTGATAAATTACGAGCAAATGAAGGAAGAGAATATTCTTTTAATTGAGTGTTTTGCCAATTATCTTTAAGTCCTTCTAAAAATCTTGTCTCTTCAGCTAACTGTAAAATTTCTGGATGACTTGCCATTATCCTTTCTTCCCAATTTTTCTTATCTTCAACTTCATTAACAAAAGGGACATCATCTATTTGTGTTTCTTTTAATGCACTCATCTTCTTATTTAAAATCTTTATTTTTAAGTTCTTTTTCTCTTTTTTCAAAATTTATTTTTATGTTTCACTTAGATGTTACACTAATATTTTGGTTAATATCATAGGTTTATAACCAAAATTGGTGTTAACTCATTCACTAAATTTTAACATTAAAAAGAATTTAACAGACTTGGAATTTTAATACAATCACATGAATTATTACTATATAAAGAAAGTACAAGAGGATAAAATAATAATAGAAGTGATAGAAATAAAGGCATAGATGAAAACCATAATTTAGAATGAAGAAAAGTGTTGATAACTTTAGTCTATTTAAGATTAAATTGTGTTGTTTTAGACTTAATGAATTCATATCAATCAAATAATTCATATCCAAATAAGAAGTAAGTAAATGATAAAAAGATAATATTTAATACGAATCACACATGATTTAATGATAAAGCCTCATCCTCCTAAGAAAGAGATCTGTATTTGATTCACAGGCAGTGCTTGTTTTTTTTTTAATTATTGTTATTATTATTTTTGTTTAGTTTGAAGCATAATAGAAGATTGCAAGAAGATATGAAAAGGATTTCAATGTGTATGTATTATTATCTCTAAAATAAATTTAAATGAGATAAAATTGATGAATTAAAAAAAGTCATAACGAAAATAAATAGATTAGAATATCTAATCAATGGAATGGTACAGAGTAAAATGCATCATGAGATTAAAGGAACAAGATACAGATGAAATTAAAATGAAAGCACAAGAAAGAATAAAGTACCTAAAATATATGATGACGATGATTAAAGAAAGAATTAAATTTAATAAGAATGAAAATGTCAGAATCAATACAAATAAAATCATGTTTGATTCTAATAAGAAAATTAAAATAAAGAAGAAAGACCCACAAAATGAAATATATCCAAATAACGATATTATTTTAGAATATTTGAAATCGTTATATGAAACACAGGTGATATTAAATAAAGAACATTTGAAAATAAAACAAATCACCTCGTGGAATGAAAGATACAGGAATTATGAAGTGTCATCATCACAATGGATGATTTAAATCTAATCCTGATGAAAATAAGTAATTGGAAAGCACCAGGTATTGACACTATATATGGGTATTATTGGAAGAGAATGTCATCATCAAGAGAGTCCATTCTTAATATATTCAATGATTGGTTAAACTTCAATGAAAACATCACTCTAGACATGGTAAGTGGAAGAACTATACTAATCCACAAAGGAGGTGATAGGAACGATGTCACTAACTATCGTCCTATCAGTTGTACAAATGTAATAGTGAAAGTATTTACCTCCATATTGAAAGAGAAGATTCACAATAGAATTAACATGAATAGTGAATCATTAAAAATTAGTAAAAATCAATTGGGATGTAAACTGCAATCTCTTGCTGATAAAGAATGATTAATTAACAGTTATATGTTAAAGCAGCAAAAAGAAGAGAAATACACAAAATATGTAGAGTCATATTATGATATTAAGAAAGCATATGACTCAGTAAATCATGAATGGGTAATAGAATCACTTAAATACTTTAATGTAGAGGGAGTCATCATAGACATTGTAGAAAGTATGATGAACAGATGGAAGATATTCATAGGATATAAATATAATGAATATCTAGGATGTATTAAACTGAAGAGAGGAATTTTACAAGGTGATTCCTTATCCCCTCTACTCTTCATCATCCAAATGAATATAATTTCTCAAATCATAGAAGAGAAGTTCCCAAAAGCAAACCATACATTGTATATGGATGAATTGAGAATAATGACACTAAGTAGTGAAGAAATGGGAACAATCCACAATGAAATTAAAGAAATAATAAGTGGAATAGGGATGGAAATGAATGAAAATAAATCAGGAATGGTATTAAAGAACATTAATAAAATACCAGATTGAATGCAAAACATCACATTAATTGAAGGAGAGGAATTGTATAAATATTTAGGTGTATGGCAGTCCGATGAAATTAATGATACCTTCAATTGTAAAATCATCAAAGAAAAGATGATGAAGAAAATGGAAGAGATAAATACTGATGAAAGTAGTAATAGAAGATATATTACAAGAATTAATACTGAAGTAATACCAATCTTCAGATATTCAGCATCAGTAGTAAATTGGAAGGTAACTGACCTAGATAAAATGGATTTGGAGATAAGAAAATATTTAAGAAAGGCAAAATACATTTGTTGTAACTCTAAAGACCGTCTATATGTCCCTATAAATGAAATTGGTGAAGGATTAATAAGCCTAAGGGACGAATATGTTATTGAATTAATCAGAACAGTAATGTACTATTGTACAAGAGTGAAATAAGAAATAACATAATAGATAGATGGTATTCAAAGAAAGGAATATGGAATAGAATTAAAAAAGCACTAAGTCATAAAATCGGAGAGACTCAAATAGAAGAAATAATAAATGAATTTATTGAAAATAAAAAAGAAGTAGTAGTAAAAATAAAGAAATTAATGACCGACCAATACATCAAAAAATGGAAATCAAACAAGTGGACATTTTAGAAGATGGTTCGAGTCAAAATTTGTAGATAAAACTACTACAATCAATGCATGGAATTCAATCATTATTAAAAAGAATGCATTTCTTCAATTAACTAAAATACAAGATGGAGTAATATTTAATATGTACAAGAAAGATAAAATATTAAAAATGAAAGATTGAAGTACTGCCCACTTTGTAAAGACAAGACAGCCACAGTAGAACACATTCTACTATCTTGCATTGGTCATAAGAAATCACAGATGGAGAAACATGACCATATTTGTATTATCATTGGGTAATAAGAAAATACACAAGAAATAAACAATACAAGAAACCCCCATATGAAACAGTGTTCCAATACAATGACATCACTATGATATGGAACAAACAAATAATGCCAAAAAGTGATGGACTATATCATAAAAGACCAGATATATGTACTAGATAAAAAGAATAAAACTGGTCTAATATTTGATATGACTATTATTGCATATCACAATATTAATGGAGTATAATTGAATAAAAGAAATATGTACAAGGAATTAAAAAATATGGTAATGAAAATAGAGAAATTAAAAGATGTCAAAATAATTCCAGTAGTAATTTCGATTAATGGGCTAATAAATGCCGAAAGTATTAAATTAATCAAACAATTAAAAATCGAAATTGACATCACTAAAGAAATTAAAAACCTTGTAATTAAAAACATGATGGACGTCATGGAACACTGTGGAGACCACAACCAAACATATGTAGTTGAATTACATGACGAAGACGAAGGGATGGGATTAGTCTCCCCTGAGCCAGGAACAATAGACACAAGTTCTATTAATACTTAATTAACTTCTTTTATTTTTTAAATATTGTACAAGAATATTAAATGATATATCTTCTATTCTATCATCATTAAATATTATGAAATACAATAAGAAATATTAATAATGATATAACCTCAAAATTAAGATATGGATTCTATATTATCAAATGAAAACTTGGTGAGTTAGAGAATATATATAAATAAATAAGAAATTTATTAATATAATTCTAATTATTATAGTCGAAATGTTCATAAAAGTAGATTATATGTTATAATAAATGAATTAGGAATGGGATTAATGTCAGCACGAGATGAATGTTGTAAAGAATTATTAAGAATATATTTAAAATATAAATATCAAATACAGAAATAGGAGAAATGATAGAGGCAGTAAAAGAGAATCCAAATGGAATAATTAAAAGAATGAAGAGAACATTTGGTATGAAAATTAATTTCAATGAATTAATATAATACAATTAAATGAAATAAAACATGATGTAAACAAAGTAATTGAATTTGTAACAAATAAATTAAATGAAAAATATTTAAATGAATTGAAAGAAATGTAGTGAATATATAAGAAATGTAAATTGTATATTTAATAATAAGAAATTATCAGTAACTACATGGATGTCATTAAATATAAAAAGAAATGTATTCATCAAAGTAGTAAAAATACAAGAAGGAGTAACTATGACAAGAAATATTAAATCTAAAATACTTAATTGTGATGCTTTAAAATATTGTAAACATTGTCCTATCACAATTCCATCTATTAGCCATATATTGTTAG